CGGCCATATAGGTGGGTCGGGGGCCCTTTGGCCCCGGGTTTGAGAGCGCATCGGCTCCTCTTGGCCAAACGGGTCTTGGGAGCCCCCCCCCCCCCCCCCCACCCAGGAGGGCTACCTCGAGGAGGCGCTCAAGGTGTGCTGCGCGCTCAAGGAGTTCGAGGTTGGCGCGCGCGTCTTCTAAATGAATAATCATTCTTGGCATCCTTGTGATTATGATGATGATGACTGTTCGAGGTTGGAGAGCGCGTCTTCGGCACGCGCCCCGCCGTCATCGGCTTCCGTGAGCACATTTTCTCCGGGCTCGGATCGCTGGGCGAGAGATTACTCGAGATCTCGCCGAGAGATCGCCGAGATATCGCCGAGATAACGCCGAGATATCGCCGAGATATAGCAGTCGGATCGCTGGGCGAGAGCTCGCCGCCTCGCCGGAGCTACCGCCACTGACTCAGTGAGTGAGTCAGCCCTCGAGGCAGGCACGGGACTGTCTACGTGACTGCTAGGCGAGTTCGCCGCCTCGTCGGAGCTGGTCTTTGGCACCCTCGTGCAGCGGACGATGGCGTACCCGCTCTACTCGCGCTACCACTACGGCCACCCGGACCTGCTCTCCAAGGCTGCTATGCTCGCGCAGGGCGGCGTCTCCAAGGCGAGGTCGCGCGGACTCAGCCGGCCCTAGCCGAGCTGTGGGCTCATGCGTGGAGCCTCTCCTCCAAAGGCGACCCGCGGACTCAACTTGTCGGAGGACGTCTTCACGGGCATGGACGCGGTGCTGCGCGGGCAGACGGTCGTGCACCGCGAGTACTTTCAGGCGGGCAAGGGGGCTCTGTCTCTAGCGTCGGAGGCAGGGGAGGAGGGAAGACGATTTCCTGTCAGGTGGGCAAGGGGCGCGACATGGGCTTCCTCTCGATCCTAAACTTCTTCGTCAAGCTCTCCAAGGGCACGGCGCGCATGACGACCACGCGGCAGGCGCACCGCCTCGCCGTGCGCCTCTCGCTCACGCTGTGAACAGCGTCTCTTCACGCCTCGAGCTGCGAACAGGCGCACCGCCTCGGCGTGCGCCTCTCGCTCACGCGCCACCTCGGCTTTTACTACGCTCACGCGGGCTACTACGTGGGGCAGTTGCACTGGTATAGCCGAGATGTAGCCGAGATCGTAGCCGAGATATAGGCTCCCCGGAGAACGCACACACCGCCTCGTGTGCTACGCCACGTGTGCGCTCCGCGAGTGCGCGCGCCCCGTGGTCCGTGCCACCACCCCTGTGTGTGTGGAGAGGCTCACCTTGCCTTACTGGCTGGCTTCGCAGGTACCACTCGACGTACGGCGTGCTGGCGCTCTGCTTCCTCGGCGCGGTCACGCAGGGCACCGGCCTGCTGCCCACCGCCGCCAACTCGGCGGCGGTGATGGCCAACCTCATCTACGGACCCCTCTTCGCCCTCTTCCTCGCCTCCTCCCTCCTCCCCCTCGCCGTGGTCTATCTGGTGGAGCGCGGCGTCCTCACGGCGCTGCTGCAGCCGCTCCGCCTCCTCTCGTCGGGCTCGCCCCTCTTCTTCATGTTCCAGTCGCGCGCGATCGGCCACTCCCTCTCGGACGAGTTTGCCTTTGGCGGAGCAGCCTACCTGGCCACCGGACGCGGCCTCGGCATCACGCGCACCCCCTTCCACCAGACCTACTCCACCTTCGCCATCACCGCCATCTACCCCGGCGCCGAGCTGCTCGCCTTCCTGCTCTCCGCCTCGCTCGCCTGCCCGTCCCTCGCGCTGCGGCCGACCCTATACGTCTTCTCCATGCTGATGCCGCTCTCGCTCGCCTTCTCGCCCGCCCTCTTCAACCCGCACGCCTTCGAGCCGCGGGCGGCGCTGCAGGACGCGCGCGAGTGGCTCTCGTGGCCCGTTGACCTAGAAGGAAGAAGCGGAACGCGGATCCGCACAGCCCGACTGGCGCTCGCGCGGACACACGCACTCTGGCTGTACTCAACCGTGCCTCCGCCGCATATCCGGACCCGTAGCACATGCGCAGCCCGCGCATTCACGCGGGCTCCGAGTGCACTGCGCGAGACCGCACTCCCGCCACGACGGGCCGGTGTACTCGCACGACGGGGTACTCGCACTGTAGGCTCGCCGCCGCCGACTCCTCGACGGCGTGTATTTCTTTTTGACGAGGGATTTCCTTTTTAGGCTCGCCGACGCCGACTCCTCGACGGGATGGCTCTCTGGCCACCGCCGGCTCTGCGCGAAGAAGACGTCGACGCACTTGCAGGCGATGCTCCTCCCGTCCAAGGAGCAGCTCCTCGCGTTGCCGCTCCTGCTCGCCGCCTCGGAGGCGATGGCCTGCCCCTCGCCCCACCACCTGCACTTGCGCCGCCAGCTCCTGTGTGCGCGGAGAGGTGGAGCCGGCCTCTTCTGATTTCCCCCCCCCCCCAGGCGATGGCGCCGTATGGGTGGAGCTTGTCGCCGCACCTACTGCTGCTCGCCTTGGACCCGGCGCCGCCGCTCGCGCTGCTCACGCTGCTGGCCGTGCGCCGTGTGGCGGGCCTCTGCTACCGCGGCGCCGCGTGCAGCAGCGAGGACCCGAACCCGCTCACGGCGGGCGTCCTCGTCGGCGCGTGTCTTGCGGCCGAGGCGGCGGCGGTGGCGCACGCGTGCCCCGCCCTGCCGACCGCGCACTGGGTGTCGCTGCTGGCCGCGCGCTACTTTTGCACGCGCAAGTGGGGGCAGCTCCCCCCCCCCCCCCCTCCCCCCGCTGGTGCCCTTTGCGCTCTCTCCGCACCCCCTCTCGCGTCTCGTCGCCACGCCCCCGCGCGCAGGTGCGCCAACACCTTTGCATACGCCTACGAGCTCGCACCTCCGTGCGGGGAGGGAGTGCTTGCCGCAGGGCCGGTGCAGCTGCTGGCCAGCGCCGGTCGCCAAACGGTGCCGTCGCGCCACCCCCGCCCACCCCCGCCAAGCCCCCAATTGCCGCCGCCACTCTCGCCGCCGCCGCCCTCGCCGCTGCCACCCCTCGCCACCGCCCCCCTCGCCACCGTCCCCCTCACCACCACCTCCAAGCCCACCCTCGCCAAGCCCACCGCCGCCCTCGCGGCCGCCGCCCAGCCCGCACATTTGGGAGAGCGGCAGAGCCTCCTCCGGACTCGACCCGATGCCGTGCGCGGGATAGGTGATTGGCTACCACATGCTTGGCGACGTCGTGCTGGGCGCAGCGATGCAGCTGCCGCTGCTGATCGTGGCGCTGGTGCCGTGCGTCGCGGGCCCCCACCAGCGCTTCCTCTTCAGCACGTCCACGACATGTCCATGACATGTCCGAGACGTGTCCACACAGGGCTCCACCTGCGCTTCCTCTTCAACACGACCGGGTCCGGCCTCGACGCGTCGCTCAAGACGCAGAGCCTCGGCCGCCAGTCGCTGCAGCGGTCGCTGGAGCAGTACTCCCACTCGCGCAGCAACTCCCACGCAACCTCGCCCGTGACCAGCCGCTCCGGGAGCCGAGTCGGCACGCCAGAGCGGGGCAGCCGGGTCGGCAGCCGGGGCCCGGATCGCGGCTACCGCAGCCGGTCGGGGTCGGACGTGCGCAGCACCCACCGAAGAGGCGCGCGCGTGGGCGGTGGCGGTACCAACGCGAGCTTTGCCCCATAGGCGAGCTTTCACGACGAGGCTGCGCAGCGTTTGGTGGCACACACAAATGACGACCCTCCGTCGCCGCGCGATGCGGGCCCGCCGGATAGGTTGTTCACGCCGCCCTCGACCGACGAGAGGCCGCTGATGAATCATTCGGCCAGTAAGGGGCGCAGCCGCAGAAAGAGGTGAGAACGCCGCTTGCCTTCACATGGGAACACGAATGTGAAGCCGTTGGGTCGCGCGCCATGCGCGGTGTGTCGAACAGACACACCCCTGAGGTGTGTTTCATCGTTGCGCAAGGATCAAGGCTCTCTTTTTGGATTTTGCGTTCCATTCGCCACATTTTGGCATAGATGCATACGGCTCTAGTGTATTCCGCGCCCCGACAGGGAGTGAATAACGTCAGCCACGTAGACGCACGCCACACCCACGTGGTATTTTTCTTCTTAAAAAGACTGTTCAGTTTTCAAAGGCAAAAACGCCGGCGTACGCCCTCCCCTCACACTGACACTTCTCCCCTATTCCCAACTTTAGGTTGCGCACGTCTCCCAGCGAGCTAGGATCTCCGCTTTTTCTCCCCTAGTCATCCGCCCGCGCCGCGCGCCTCTATGGGCGTCTAGTGCAGCCACTGACAGAACTATTCCCGAGGAGTGGTCGACGTCTCGCCTGAAGTCGGGGGTGGGCTCGCGCACTGCTTAGCCCTAGGGGAGGGGTGTGTGTGAGGTGGTGGAATGGTAAGGTTTCAGGCCAGAGGGGTGGGGGATTTGGGGGATGAGTCAGGAGCCAAAAAAAAACTGTTCAAGTCTTAAAGGCAAAACACAACGCTCTGCGGTTGGTGCACCCCCCACACTGACGCATTCCCCTCATCCCCTACCACTGGCTGAGCACATCTACCTGCGAGCTAGCCTCTCCGCATTTTCTCTTCCAGTCATCCGCCCGCGCCGCGCGCCATCTCTGGGCGTCTAGTGCAGCCACTGACAGAGCTATTCCGAAGGAGTGGTCGACGCCTCGCCTAGAGTTCGGGTGGACTTGCGCACTGCTTAGCCCTGAGGGGGGAGTGTGTGTGAGGTGGTGTAATGTCGTCCCGTTTCAGGCGGCAGGTCAGGGGATTAGCCGGGAGGATTCGGCAGCTCAGCCGGGGGCTGAGCGTCTGCAGGCAGCCTTCCGCTCGCGCCGAAATTCACAGCCCTCCCGGGCCGACGGGGTGCTCCTTGGATCGGGCCCCGCTCCCCGCTTTTCCTGTACCTGGACTGTCCGGGTCAGGAGGGTGAGAGTATTGGGTGGGCGAGGGCAGTACATCTGGCGGGTGGGGATTGAGGGACAGCAAGAGGGCTGATTGGGGGGTCAATGGGCGCGCGGGCGGCGCTTCGTGGTCCTGGGCGAGCAGGGGCAGTGGTTAGGAGTCTTGGGCCTGGAGATATGAGGATTGTCGAAATGTCATGCGAGAGCGGTAGGTGGGCGAAGGTAGCGCGGCTGGAGAGTGGTGTCCGAGGGACAATGATGAGTTGTCAGTTGGGGCGCGAGACGCGCGGGACAGTGTCGGAGGCGGCCAGTGAGGTAGGGTTGGCTTTGAGCAGTGCAGCGAGTGTGTAGTCAAGCGTGGGAGCGGCGCGCGAGCACCGGATTTTTTTGCTGTGCGAGTCGAGTTCGTGGCCGGTGCGCGGGAGATGAGTTTTCAGTTGGGGCGCGAGACGCGCGGGACAGTGTTGGAGGCGGCCAGTGAGATAGGGTTGGCTTTGAGCAGTGCAGCGAGTGTGTGGTCAAGCGTGGGAGCGGCGCGCGAGTACCGGATTTTTTTGCTGTGCGAGTCGAGTTCGTGGCCGGTGCGCGGGAACCTGGCTGAAAACCCGCGCATCCGGCCGGTTGTGCGACCGAGGTCGCCGATTGTACGACCGAGGTCGCAGAGCCTTGGCGACGCGACGCGCACGTCGCCAAGGAGTTCGTAAAATGTCCGAGGTTTTTTATGAGTCAGGAGCCAGCAGCCTTCCTACTGGACCTGAGTTCTCAGCTCTTCCGCCCGACGGGGTGGTCCCTTGGATTCGGGCCCCGCTCCCTTTTCCTGCGCCTGGTCTGTCCCTGTCATGAGTGTGTTGCGAGATGCAGAGCTGGTTAGCTGGAGCACAGATCTGGTTACTGGTTAGGCTGGAGAGCTTGTTAGGCTGGGGCACAGAGCTGGTTGGGCTGGAGCACAGAGCTGGTTAGGCTTGAACAGCCGAACTCGAGTTGCGTGACGCCAGAGTAAGCTAAAAGAGCAGTCCTTGGGCACAATGGCGACGCACACCACCTCAGGACAGGTCGATCGGCTCACCTAGCCTTGACGCGCGTTACCTTGATTTTTTCGTCGGTGATGGAGAGCGACCGGCTTTCTCTCGGCTTTGCGTCCTTGTTGGCCAGGTGGGTGAAGTCACCCGTCCACCCTTGCGCTAGCTTGAATTGGCCCCATCCCTCGTAGTACTTCTTTGGGTTCGGCCCACCCACTCCCTTTAGGATGTCCGGCCTGCCGCGCAGTTGCTATTGAGCTTGAATTCAGGCACCGCGTCCTGTGTGTTCTTTCCGCGTCCTCCGTCTCGAAGAATGCGAGAGCAACCCTCGACGGGCGCATCACGTGCGCAGTGCAGCTGAAGCGTTCCCTGGGCAGATTTGTCGTAAACGAGGGAGCCGCAGATCGTCGGCTTTTTTGGAATGCTCCGCCCGAGGCACGCCATCCACTCTCCGCCGAGGCACGGGAAAATAAAAAACTATGGCGGCGTCACAACACCGACCGAGCACCACCGAACGCAGGCACCCAACCAGCGCATGGCTCCATCGTCAGTACCCGCCGCCATCTCTCCCGGCGCCGCAACGTGCGCCGTCAAGCGCGCGCCGGCAACGTCGCCACCCTCGATCCTCCTCACCTGCGAGTCTCTGACGCTCCTCGGCATCGGCGTCACCGTTGCCATCGCTTCAATCATCTGGGAGATGCTGGCGGCAGAGAGGGCAGCGCGGCCGGCCAACGCGGTCCTCCTCGTCTTCGCCGTCCTATCGCTGCTCGCACAGCTCGTCCTCGCCGCTGCGGTGGTCGTTGCCCGCCGCACGACCGGCGGCAAAGCGTTTGTCCGGCTGTGGCGCTGCACCTTCGCCATCGCCTTCGCCATGCAGGCGGCCGCGGCTTTCGGGCAGGGCGTCGCGCTGCGCAACGCCTGCTTCCCGAGCGACGACTCTCCGCCACCGCCGCCGCCACCCAATTCGCCGCCGCCGCTGCCGCACCTGCCCTCGCATTGGTTCACCTACGACCCGTACTCGTACCCGGGCTTCGCCGGGGAGGAGGAGGTGGTGCGCTGCAGCGAGGGCCAGTTCGTGGTCTTCCTCCTCGGCCCCCTCTTCGCCGTCCCCGCGGTGATGTACGCAATCGCGGCCCTCCTCGGTGACCCCCGAGACTATTATAGTTGCGGAGAACTTGAGAGTCACAGCTAGAGGAGCCACGCCACACAGACGCCACACACGTGCAGCACAGGGCCCGGTGCGCGCGCGTCCCTTGTGGTGCTGGTTCCGCACTTGGCCACACCTGTCCTCTCGGCCACACACCTCCTATCTCTCCTTGAGTGTGCACAGACCTCTACTCTCCCTGTGCACGAGCTCACTCGAGGTGACCCGAGAGCATAGGCTACTCGACCTCCCTCTGCGCGACCCTCTTCTGCTGCCCCACCGACCGGAACGAGTCCGAGATACGGGTTCGCCTCCACCGAGATACGGACCTCCCCCTTTGCCACCCCTCTTGCCTCCCTGCCACTGGGTGCGAGAGGAAGGGGGAGAGAGAGAGAGAGAGAGAGAGAGAGAGAGAGAGAGAGAGAGAGAGAGAGAGAG